AAACGGCTGGCGGTTCAAACCCACCAGCCACTCCTCGGAAGGAAGGTTGGGCAATCCTACTTCCGTAGTGATACTGCCTTGGAAACCAAAGGAGGGGTCGCTATGAGTCAGGTTTGACTCGACGGCACATAACAACAACAACAACAGAGTTGTTGCTCTAGTGACTAATGACATGATGGATGTAATTGCGGCAAACTTATTTTCACTTTATAGCAGTAAATCTTCTACTTCATAGAGGTAGAGCTGGAATCACAGCTGCAGAAATTTGAGTTTACCTAAGAAAATTTCCTATTGTTTTCCAGATCTCACATTCAATAGTAGTTTAGAGGAGGAGTGTTCTCTTCACAGTTTACATGACAGTGTGAAGGCTCACTGGAATATGCAAAATGATCTAACAGTTTTTCTTACTTGGGGATATTACTGATTCTTGTTCAGTCAGTAAAGGCCTCTAGGACCAAGTATACCCAAGGATTTTTCTCATCTTTCCCACCTACAAAGAAGTCTCCAAGAAAAGTGTGTTATGAGGCTGAACGTTTCCCTTCTATGCACCTCTCATAAGACTAGAATAGCTTTCAAACCCTTTTGATCCACCTATTAAGTTTATGAAGGAGCTCTGGGGGTGTAGTCCCTAAGGCAAATGACTACTAACCAGAAGGTTGGTGGTTCAAATCCAACAGCCACTCTGGTGGAAAGAAGACTGGCAGTCTACTTCTGTAAAAATTTACTGCCTTGGAAATCCAAAAGAGGTTGGTCACTATGAGTCAGAATCGACTTGATGGCAGTGAGGTTTTTTTTTTTTTAATATGCAAACACAAATTTAAATCTCACCATTAAATCTGAATATTTAAGTTGACAAAAGTGAAGTTGCTGTACAAATAACTTTTAAAATAGCTTTTGTCATTCATATAGTGTTCATTTTTATTGATATTATAATTTGATAAAATTTATAAAATTGTTTTATATTGAGTACAAAATTTCTGTCTGTTCTAAGAATATATTTAACAGTTTTGTAATATTTTACATTGAGAAATATTGCCCATTTTTCCCATAAGTTCAAAATATGTATTTCTTTACAGAATATTATTAAGATTTCTATTGGCTTTACTCCTCAATACTATTCAAGCATATTTGTTGCATGTTATATTTTACAAATTTAAAAAAATAAATAAATAAATGCTTTAACAGGAATTGTCTTCAGGGAATAATTTTAATACAAATAAATAACTACTTGCATATAGTGTGGAGACAAATAAGGTCATTACAAAAAAATTTAAAAAACAAAAACAAAAACCCATACATTAGAGAAGAAAATCATCATCTAGGGAGAAGGACATAGTTAAGGTAACTTAGGTGTTGTCTATGTAGACTTTGTAATTTTCTTTTTACAAAATATAATTGATTGGCCTTAGAAAATATGTCATTAAGAGATAGAGATAGGTAGGCATAATCAAATTAAATTTTCATGCATAAATTAGGGCAAGGAAAGGACTAATAGTCACTACCGTTGTCTGAATCAATTAAAATGTTCTTGTAATTTAAAAACAAACAAAAAATGAAGAAAATAATACTGACAACGTCCTTACACACACACACTAAGAGTAATAAAAGTTAGTATTTTCCTTATATGCTTTAATTATCAGTTAATATTTTAGTTTTTCTGTTAACTCCTGATTAAAATATAGCATATGTAAAGAAAGGAAAACAAATCATAAGAATAAAGCTCAATGAATCGTCAAAAAAATGAAATTATCCTTGTCACCAACACCTATATCAATATACGGAACACTTAGCAGAGTAGAAGTCTTCCTCATGCATCTTTTCAGGCACTAAGCATACCTGGTAATTATTTAGGCAAGACTTTTTTTATTGTTTCTATAATGTTTAACTTTTTATTTAGAAATTATTTCAAATATATAGAAAGTCACAAAAATAGTAGGAAAGTTCCCATAGTTGTCACCATCTTCCCTATTATTAATATTTTATGAATTCGTGGTAGGAATTTTTCAAACCCTGAAATTAACATGGATAAAATTAAATAAACCAAATATTTAGTCAGAATTTCACTAGTTTTTCCACTACTATATTTTCTCTGTTCCAAGATCCAACCCAAGATCCTAGATAGCATTTGGTTATTTTCTTCCTTAATCTCTTCTGATCCAGGACAGTTCTCCCACCTTTACTGTCTTTCCTGACATTGACATTTTGGTAGGGTATTTGGTCAATTGTTTTATAGAACTTCTCTTTATTTGGGATTGCTCAATGTTTTCTCCCTGTCAGATTGGCATTATGAAGTTTTGGCAAGAATATCACAGAAGTGGTGTTGTGTTCTCAGTTCATCATAACAGAGGGTATAA